CAGCGGTGGCAGGTAGGCCGCTTTCCGCAGGCTGTGCGGACGCGTGCCAGGTATCCCGAAGATGCCTTTGGAAGCATAGGCGCAGCTGTTGGAAGGTGGCTTTTGGTACAGGCTTTCTTAGCGTAGCTTTGTCGTCCTCCTGCGCATATCTGTGAAGGATGGGAGAGAGGTGTAAGCGTCAGGTAACTATTAAATGCTTGTGAATGCGGTAGGGAAACTGAAACCTAGAGAAGGATCTTGGCTTGGCTCGTCTGAGCATGCCGATGATCTGTAGCATACAGAAAGCATCTCTGATTTTTGCCGAGATAAGAACCCAGATGTTTTGTCACTGCAGTTTCTGCTTCGGCTATGACACTGAAGTCTTGAGATTTTTATGAGCATGAGAACTTCAAACGCTGAAATAAAAGGGAGGGGTGGGAAACAACCTTCAAACTTACTTGAAAGTCTCTTCTGACCAGAACCATTCTAAAACTCTGCTTTAAAATTTACTTATATTTGTAGACTTCCAAGGAACTGGAAGGCCTTCAGAGGAGGATATAAAGACAAAAGAAACTAAGTAAAAAATGCTGCAAATATGTTTCATATGGTCCTGGTACAATGAGTTTGTTAATGCCCAGACTGTTCTTGGTTGTGAGGAAGGGGAAGACCAGGGACTTAGTTGAAGTGGAGCCATAATGGGTTTCTAAAGAGAACAAACTTGCTTTAATATAGTAAGCTGGAAATCTCAGCTAGGGAGCTGTTCCTTCATAGCACAGATGATATATTGGACGGAAGACAAGCCTCTCCACTTGGAACAGCAAGTGGCACCAACTTGGGGGTTGGAAGCATCATTAGTTTCTCTTAGCCTGCCGATTCCTTGAGTAGATTAGCCTGACCCATCTCTTGTGTTAGTCCTCTGTGAGCATCAAGGTGGGATGCTAGGTAAGATGTGCATTTGATTTTGATCCCATGTGGCAATTAAAGTACTTTGTTGGGTAGTAATTCATTCCTCTTTACCAGCTGTCAGTTTCTTTTTCTTACTATCATACTGTATTTGCCAATCAATACAAACTTTCTTTTCCTCCCTGTGGGAATTTTCCCACGTTCCTCTCCTTGCCCTGTCATATCCTTACGTAAATGTTATGTGCTGTTTTGTGGAATCCATTCCTCCTTTTCTCATCTTCCTTGTTTAATCTGTTTTTTATTACTTTCTCTTTTCTGCAGTCATCTCTGCTGCAGAAGACCACCTTGGGCTTGAACTTGCTAGTATGGTTGGATTTATCAGTCGTAGATACATAAGTGGCTCTGCTGGAGCCACAGATCTTTGTTTCATGATAGAAACTTTCAGATATGTAGATGTTTACCTTTTTCAGTGTGCTTTGGGAATGTACGGAAGAATTACTGATCGTGTTTTAAATCTTGGATTTTTTGAAAGGGGAAAAAAAGTCTGGAAGTTGAGCAGGGAAGAGCATGGAAGGTGATGCTGTATTTTACAGAATCCAGGTTTGCTAGTCCTGTGAAAGGATTTGTGAACATGAGGAAACAAACCCTGCTCCTGGGAGGAGTGCTGAGGATAAATACTCCGGGAAACCTGTAGTGCTGTAACTAAGGAGTGGAGTTACGTGCATAAGGAACATCCACTTAATGGGTTTGCAATTAGTGGCACTGAAAATGATGTGAAATGGAACAATGGTTATGGCACAGCCTGAGTTACGTGAGGGTGATAAATGGGTAGATTTTGATCACAAAGTTTTCATTCTCGTTCTGAAAAACCTGGCCTTTAAGCTTTCTGCTGAGTGTGAGAGGTGTGTGCTATTGTTAGTGGGTTTTTTGGTGTTTTTAGGGATAATCCAGTATGAGTAAAAAGAGAGGTTCTTGATTAGGCAAAGAAGTGGCTTATTCTAGGTGGTATCAAAACATTTGAAGAAGGACAAATATTCCAAATACTCTGCAGTTTATTTCTTTTCCATGGGTGCCTTGTGAGCTTCATGAGTGCAGTGACTAGGGATTTTAATTAAAGTTTTGGAACAGGAGAGTCAAGAGTTTGAATATGTGGCTTTGCAATCCTGTCCCACCTTCCAGAAGAAAGTTCTTTAAACATGACCCTACAGTCATGTCTCGTGTTTTTCAGGCCTTTGCTCTCAGCCCACATTAGTGTTGTTCAAAATGCTGTGTGACTTCCCTCCTCAAGGAACTTCAACTGTGGCTGGGGAGGTTTTATTTTTCCAGTGGAAGATCCTCGTTTTCACCAGAATGACCCAAGGAGTTGTACTTCAGTTATTCAATCTGAATAGTATAAACTGAAGACTTGAGTTTTACAGGAATATAGGCTTTGCAGGCAGTCTTAATTGTGATCATTTTTGCTGGTGGTGGTGGTGAACTTGATACAATACAGAGGCTTCAGATTCCTTTCCAAAACTGAAATAAGTACTGTATGTAAATATTAGCTGGGAGTGGGTTGGAGAGGAATCTGGAGAGGCAAGGTGTGGAGTGTTCTGGAGAGCAGAGTAAGGAGAGAGAGAGCCTCAGTGCTGGTCAAGGGATTAGGAGGAGGCAGTATTGCAATGGAAAGAAAAAGGGTCTTCTGGTTATCTGGTTTTCCTGTTACACTTCATGCTGGGCATACAGCCGTCTTTACCCTCTCAAGCTAGGGTTTGGTGGCCCTGATCAGAACATAAGTTTGATACCTTGACAACTAAGGAATAAAATATGCTTGTGCTTGATAGCCATACAGTGTTGTGGAGGAAGGGGGGACTGACCATAGTCATTTAAAGACAGATTTGGAGCAGAGCTTTGATGCATGGTTCGTGGATTTAAGGGAGCCTTGGGACTTCTTTTTATGTACCCAAAGTTATGTACTTCAGCTAACAGTCTTTGATTTGGTGCAGCTTTGCTAAAACACACCCAACTAGTTCTTCCCTTCAGTGACACTTTATTAATGCAGGTATATTGAACAAAAGAGGTGCAAACAACTTTGTGCTCACGATTCCATAAGCTCTTTCCAGCTCCAGAATGGCAGTTAGGGCTATTTTGGCATGTAGTTCAACTCTTTGCTGCATTCCTTTCAGAACTACTCAGGTTTCTCAAGTGGTGCATAACTTCTCTATTACTGATGCTTTGTGCCAAAAAGCTTCTGGTACCAAACTGCAAAAAGGACAGAACTGAAATCAGTGGCTTTCTTACCTCAGATGAGTGACTGTATGATGTTTAGCTGCTACACTGTTCTGAAGAAAGAGGAGTAACTTCAAAATGCTCACACCTGTTTTATGTGTGAGCGCGCGTACGTGTTGGAAACCCGCATGGGAAGAGGAATGTGTGCCATGGTTGATTGCTTGACTGCCTGACTCTTCTGCTTACACATCCTCCGTCCTGAGGCAGGTGAAAACAGCACACACCAGGGATTTGGTGTGATGAGGTTTGGGTGGGTGGATGAGGCAAAGCTTGTCCTTGAATTGTCAGTGTACTGTTATGCATTCGTTAAAGATCAGAGACATTTGTTTGGACCCAGAGCTAAAGAGGACATTCAGTGTTAATGGTGGCAATACTAGCAGGGTGTCTATGCTTGCATACATGTAAGGACAGACCTCAAACATTTTTACAAAGGTGCTCAAACTTTGGGAGCTTTCTGGCGTTTCTCAGGACAAAAACTAGAGTATGTCTGCAATTGGCTTCCAAATTATGGAGAAGTATCGTTGTTATATGTAGGCATGAATGGGAATAAATGTGATAGGCTGAGATGCCTGGAATGCAGATCTGTGTCTGTACTACTTTTTCCTCATTAGGAGAGTGCTGGTTCCCTTTTGCAAGAGAAGGTGGGCAATACAGGCTGTGAAACTGACCTTAGCACACTGGTGGGAAACACCTTCATCTTGAGAGTTCCAGATTTGCCCTCCTTTCCCGGTGTCCTAAGGACCTACAAGCTCTCACTGCCCTGTTTGAATGATGTTAAAAAAAACACATACCAGATTTCAAAGCTACCTGATTCCACTAAAGTACCAATCAAAACTAGAAAGAAAACGAATTTACTCCAGCAGAGTAAAAATATGGTTATTTATGGCAAAATTAGAAGGTTACTAAAAGGTAATGCCAACAAAATGTGCTGTCAGTAGATACATGTGACACCTGGGTTCCTTTTATAAATGTGATTTGAGGTGTCTGAGTTCTGTTGCAGTTGAAGAAGCTGATGGAATGACTCAGTGGCATTTTAGTCTTTGAATAATGTGTTTCAGAAGAGAAGTCTAAAATTAGTGAAGAACGAGTTAAAGGCCTTATTCTTACAGGCTGCTGAGGGCAACTGTCTCTTTGAGACTGTTCTTGTTCCTTCTATAATAGTGGATTTCAATTTCTTTTTCTCCTCCTGGCTCATGACCTTCAAAGCCATTGTTTAGTCGCATGTATTTTTAAAGGCAGGTTCATCACCAAGGTTTTAAAATTGTTAAAATGCTTTTAATGGGCATTTATTTAAAAACGTATGCCATACTAGTGTTAGGCACTGTGACAGCTTCTAGTTTTGGAACTAGCAGCCACTGCAAAAGTATCCTGACTTCCATGTCAAAGAAATAACTGGCTGATAGTTGGACATGCAGTGATGAAACAGAGAACTGCTTCGTTAGAAATCATGTGGAGAACTAGATAGCAGGATTAAGGATTGACTCAAGATTTTGAGGTTGAGGAGGAAACCTTTATTGATGGAAAAATCCAGGCTTCCTCTAATCTTGAATCTCTTCCTCCCAGAGCCTGAATGAAGCCACACAAGTCTTCCCAGTACTGCTGTACGGTTCACTGGCCATCCTTGGGTACCCCTCCTGTAACCTGTAACTCTGACAGTTGATTGAGTCCATAGGCCCTAGTTTCCTGGTGTAGGTATGTGAGTAGCAGTTCTCAGCAATGTGAGATACTTTTGTATCTTTGTGTGTCCTTTTCTTGTTAACTCCCTGTGGGGTCGTGCAGGGCCAGAAAGCGAGGAGTGTTCCACACGCTCTTCTCCGAGATTCATGTGTTGCTCTGCTAATGCTTTCATGCTGGGTCAGAGAGGAGAGTAATATTAATTAAACAATTCTTAGTATGCTTGGAGTTGTGGTATCATGTGGTTTGGGATGTTGTTGGTGGGTAGAACTAATTAGTGGAACCTAGTTACTTGTAGATTTGTCCTGTTTGTCTTCAGCTTTGCTGCCTTCTGTCTCCTAATGCACCCACCAGGCAAGACAACATGTGCTGGAAGCTGGGTGGGTGCTGCTGGCAAGTAGGGTGACTGGGGGAGAGGCACAAAGGGGACCTCTCCCCAATGACATCTTTTCCTTGGTCTATCAACACTATCCTCAAACCTTCCAGAAATGTATCCCTGTTTGGAAAAATCTGATCCTTTACTGGGTTTGCATCTGGGAGATGGGTATAGTGGTTCTTGCAGCAGATGACCAGAAGTGGAACGGTTGTGTAAGGTGAAGCTGAAAAAGGGTAACTGGCACTGAGATGAGGGGTGTTCAGTGAACTGGAACGTTGAGGGTTTCATTCACAGGGAGGAGCTGCTATGCAGAGAAGTGATACTTGTGCACATTCCTCTTGGCATGGTAGTGGGGTAGCTGGGTTGACGAGGTGTCACAAGTATCTCGGCTAAAGGAGTTTGTTTTAAATATTTTGGCCAAATAACTTTGTCTTAGTAGGCAGAGAGGTGGGTGAGTCTGGAATGCTGCTTTGAGTTCTGAAAATCCCCACCTGATGTAATGTTATAAATTAAGCAACCATTTCTTTTGACATAGCTTCTCAGTAGTGAATCTAACACAGCTGGGAGGGGAAAAAGGCTTTAAGTCTTCAGTGGGAGGTCTTGTTGTAGGTAGGTAATCTTGTGAATCTAAAAAGATAGCTGTGACATGACAGCTTTAGCTTTCTGGCTAGGAAAATGTCTCTCTTCTTCCTTCTTCCTCTAGTTTCTCTCTGAATCAAGCTTCGCTTCACTTTTTCTCAGAGGCAGGAGTGCAAAATAAGCTACAAAGCAATGACTTACCAAGGGTGTCTGTAGCACTGTTGGTATGTGCAGAGTAAAAACTGTTAAAATAAAAGTAGCATAGACCAGTGAAATTTTTAAGGAGTACGTTTGTTTGGAAGGCATTTTGCAATACCTAAATTAGGCTTTTCTGAGACAATACTGGAGTTGCTTCCACACAAAATGGAGTAGCACTCTAGTCACAGAGGATCCTTGGTTTCTGCTAGTTGGTCTTGACAGTATCTTACTGGCTTTGGTGGCAGTACAGTGTGTAAAGTTTGGTGTATTTTTTTTTTTTTTTTGAGTTGGGTACTTTTATCATATGGATTGAGTGCTTCTGAGTTCTAATATAAAAGAAAAATCCTCGAGTTCCATGCTCCCAAAAGAGTACCAAAGTATTTCTTGACAAGTCCTTGTTGTGAAATCTCGTTACATTTTGAATATTTAGAATTGAAGAACCTTTGGTGTATTCATTGTTTAATGCAATTTAATATTAAACGTCTGAAACTTTTTTTCTCTTTGTTCACATAGCCAGTGAAATTGTGCTATGGATTCAGATTCAAACTTAATTGCATATCTCTCTCTTCTTCGTGTTCTTGATCTGCAGCTAGAATTCCCCCACTGACAAATAAAAACCCAGCTGTTCCTGAGGTGCATGCTAGAACTTCAGCAGCTCAAGATGAGATGTGTATAACTTGTTTTATGACTTGTTTTGGTTTTGTTTTGGGGTTTTATTGCGTGGCATCCTAATCCCACTTCAGCATATGGAATGAGGAGTATGGGGCCTTGAACAGAAATGATTTATCTGTTGAAGTTTATTTTGTGTTTGAGAGTTTAATGAAGTACATTAACAGTTCTTTACTAGTAAACTTTATGTCAAGTCTACTATGCCTGATAAAATCAGAGGTTTCCTATAACTTTGCTCACTGATCTTAACCAAAGCAGCACAAATTGTAATGTAAGCATTTGGGCTTGATTTTTATGGTGATGACTGACTTTTTTTTCTTTCCCCTCCCCCAACAGGAACAGGAAATACAGTGGTGATAATGGTTGGCTACCCAAAAGGAATAGAGATATTGGAGCCGGTACGGAGAGGGATTCCAGTGAAAATGACCATTGTTGTGGGCACACGACACGTGCAGGAATACATCAGTGGCCAGTCTGTTGTGTTTGTAGCCATCGCCTTCATCACCATGATGATTATATCACTTGCTTGGCTCATATTTTACTATATACAACGTTTCCTGTACACAGGATCACAGTTTGGAAACCAGGTAATTAGAGATGCTTTAGAGTATTTAATGTCTTTTCATGTCAAATCGGTTGCTTAACTGCACTTGTTTATTGACTCACTCTTGGAGATCTGTGCCTTATTGCTGCTTCACTATCTGAATGCTAGTCAGTAGGGATTAGTGAGGCTAATAAGCAATGGCAAATGGGCATCAGGAGTTTGGCTGCCTGTAATTATTAGACACTTGTATGAAGTTCTGTCAACAACTGACTAAAGGCAGCTGCTTGTGTGATTGGTCACCTGACTTAACTTCCTTTTGACATAAAAAAATATTTTCATTTTTAGTAATTTTCATCCTGAAGTAATAACTTCCCTAACCAGGCTTTTTTTTTAACAGAAGGAGACTATGGTAAATCTTCTTAGTAAGACCCACGAGTAGCTAGGGCTAGAATTTTTAGTTGTAAAACATTGTGAAAATTTTTGATACTTGCAATCCTACTGCTCCACTGCAGAGTACTGAATTGCAGCAGACTAGAACGAGCATGTGTGCTGAGATTCATCTCTCTTGGACTACCTGGAGTGCTGAGAGCAGTGAAAGTACTGGGAAGATGAGGAAGGAATAACTGAATAACTTAGCTTCTTATTTGCTCTTTCCACATTCCTGTTCTTTGAGAAGTTAAAAGTCAGTGCTGCTGTTTTCCCCTTGGGGAAGTATTTCCATCATAGAATAATTTGGGTTGGAAAGCACCTTGGAAGGCTATCTGGTCCAAACCCGTGCACTTGAGAGCAAGTTACATGGAGCTGTTAGAGGACCTAGACCAGTTAAGCTCTGAAAATATGATGATATGGCATTTCCCTGTGCTTTTCAGCTCTTGCAGATTGGTTAGGTTCCTTCAGTGTTGAAGGTGGATGTCTTAAGATTTATCCTAACAGTTCAGCAGTAAAGTCTGGAAGACCATCTTGCTACTGAAGATGAAACAGGACCATACAGAAAACCCGAGTTGTGGAACTGTGTGAAGGTGGAATAGACTGCTGCTGTCTGTTTCTGAGAGAAACTTTGAGACTAATTCTTGTTAATACCATCAAAGATTTTAAAATGTCAATTTTCAGCACTGTAGGTTTGTAAGTCATAATTATTACAGAGAAAAGTTGTGGTTGCATTGTTGGGGATTTTTTTTATTCCCTTGTAGTATTTTATCAGTGAAGATTGCTGCTAGACAGATCAACATCTGTTCATTGGGAGTGCTTGGTTTCTCAATTTCTAGCACTTTGTCTTGGAATACAGTACTGCTTTCTTTTCTTGCTTCCCCTCTAAGCATAATTAGGACTGTTACTGTATAGAAGTCCAGTATGGTGTCTCATGTCTGTGAAGCCTTTCTTGCCATCTCCTTTGCATAATGTGTCCTTTCAGTGCAAAGCTTTGTATAATGTGTGAGGCAGTGTTTAACTGAGGGGCAGTATTAATAGCTACAAGCAGCCTTTTGACCTGGTGGCCAGCTGTGGGGCTGCCCAGCAGGATTCCACCTTCTCTCAAGCTGGTGCCAAACGTGTGCTTGCTCATGGGCTTGCCTAACTAGAAGGTCTGGTTATATGGCTGTTGCTTCAGCTCCCATTGCCTCCAGAGCCTGCATTAGCTTGTTTCCCTGTGCAGGAAGGCCCTTGATGCAGGCAGTCGTAATACAAGGCTGTGTGGTATGTCAGCTTGCTCTGCATAGTTCTGCAGCAGTGGAGTTCCTTTAGGAGCAGCGTGCTCATGGACGAGGTTTGCTGCTGTGTCCTGACAGTGCAAAACTTGCAGTTCTTCAACACCTGCTGGCCGGAAGTATTTTCCAACCGAATCGGTTGCCCAGAGACTAATTTTTGTAGTCGCATTCAGGAGACTTAGTAATCCACGTGGAAAGTATTTGAAAGCTTTGAAATGTAACTCTTAAAACTAACTTGTGTACTAATACTTAAAATCTTTCTTAAAGGGACATAGGAAAGAAACTAAGAAAGCAATCAGCCAGCTTCAGCTCCATACTGTGAAACGCGGAGAAAAGGTAAGTCAGGAGCTTGGGTTGTTGCTGTGTGAGTTAAAAACTATTGTAATGTATTTGCAGAATGTAAACTAAAATTCACACAAGGTAATTGCAGTTTTAGGCTTATTTTAGGGCCTTTGCTTAGAAGGCGGATTGTAAAACTGAAGAGTTAAATTTGAACTACTTACGAAATGTTAGGCTGTTTTGTTGTAAATAGGATCTGGCTCTGCAGAATGTTGCAGGAGATTGCAGGGCTGATACTGTAAAGATGAGGAAGCACTGATATCTTTCCAGCACCTGAAAACATCAACAAGTGGATTGCAAAATACTTCCTAGGGCCTATTGATTGCACAGTTCTTACAGCTGATGTAATGTTTTGCTTTCTTAAACAAACATCCATCTTTTTATTGATCAGGCAGCTTTAGAAATCTAAAGCTCTGAAAAATGAAACACTCACTTCATCTTTTGACAATACATTAAGGAGCTGTACAGACTTACTTGAAGCATAAATTTTTTAGAAGTATGTTTCCATGTGTTAAATTCTATTCTAAAAATTAAAACAGCTTTATCTGACAGCACATGGCCTCAACTCATAGCTGTATTGGAATAACTGAAGTAGAAAAAGCTAGGGCTTTGAAAGAAAGACATTTCAGTTGGAATTGCAGGCAGCTGTGATCCTAGATGCTAAATTAGCTTCTGACTAGACTTCTGCTACTGCATTGGTTTTGGTTTTTTTTTCCCCAACCCTTGTCATCTTTGATTAGTTTTTACTTAAGGACTGATTTGCTCAGAGATGAAAAACAAGGATTAGGTTTTTTTAATCCATGAGTAAGATCGAGGTGAGAAAGGCCATTTATGAATTTTAAAAGCTGTGGTTTAACATATGCTGCAGAGAATATGTCCTTCATTTAGTAAATCAGTTCTGAAATCTAAAAAAAAAAATAAATCAGAACTGTATTTGAACTTGCCTTTTTTCCTTTTACATGTTTAGCATGTTTAAATAGCATTTTAGAAGTGCATTTGTTACTTATGTTCTGAACTGCATCAAAAAGTAATCTATTTCAATAAGCTGTGAACAGAGGCATATTCATACTTGTGTTCAGACAATGGTGAGATCAGGAAAGATGGAATTGAACCAAAACTTGTGTGAAGCAGTATCAAAGCCTAACATCAGCATAGGAAGAAATGGATGTAAAAGGGCTATGATGAAATGTGGTGAGAACCACAAGGAAGATGCTAACTGCTCTTAAGTTGGTTTTCAGTAGATCTCTGAAAAGGATTTGTATTGGGCGATTTTTGCAGTGTACCAGATTTTGCAGATCCTTCCCATCAATATACCCTTGGCTGAAATAAAATGTGGGAATGTAAGTTAAGTACAGTGTGCTGGTTGTAACTACAAATGCCATGTTAATTAAGCAAGGCAGAATGAGATGGGGTTAAAATCGGTGTGAAAATAGAGTTTTTCTGCTTGGTAAATCACATTTTCCAATTTGATTTGAATCAGCTGACAATCAGGAAACTTATGTAACTTACTGCTGCAGAGGTACTTTCATGAACTAATGTAAATTTATCTGGAAATAGTCCTGACTACTCTTTAAATGCACCTTTTTTTCCCTTTAAATATTCCTTTCAGCCATTAAAAAAAGTATATTTCTTTTGTTGTGACACAGTACAGTATTTCATTATCACTTCACTTGGGGTTGAGGTATTTAACTAAAAATAGGTCAATATTTTAAAAGTGTGTTTGCTATGATGTGGATCTTTCCTGAGAAGCTTATGAGATTATTGTAAAATGGACACTCATTTGAGTATGTGCTACATATGGTGTGCTAGAATTTTGCCTCTTGTACAGAATAAAGCATTTTTTATAGAGTAAGTACTTGTCTTAACTTTGCTTATGTAAAAAGTTTTGATTTGATTTACTTGGGAATTTAAGGCATTAATTATGTAAATTGATAGCATGCAAAGAAGGGAAAAACTTGCCTTGAACTTGAAAGTTTGCTTGCAGTACTAATTCATTTGAGTGTTTGTGGTAATGAAATTGAAATGCTTCAGTAAGCAGTAAATACAAAATACTTTGTGGAGGATGAAAGGGAAGAAGCTGGCTTGCTGTCTGTTCTTCTAATTTTCATTTTGTACAACCCAGTTAACATTGAATTATTTCTCTTGCATCTGGAGATATCCATTGTATTTGCACAGCAACTATAAGCATGGCTTCAAGACAGTGAAACTTGTTAGGAAGGCTACTTAAGCCTTAGAAATAAACTGAGGTGGAAAAATACTGCATCTTGACTCTCTCTGGTGTGAGCTTGGAGGGAAGTTTTAAAAACCATCCCAAATTGCATTCTACAGTTCCTCTCTTCTACCTACCAAGGAATATCTGCAAGGATATAGCATAAACAAAAGACAAGGGGGGAGGGGAAGTGGGGAAGAAGGGGTTTGCAGTGTTCAGCCCAAAGAATCTCTTCCTACTTAAGCACTTGGAAGTCTTTGGGACCATGAGTTTAAGAATTAAATCGTGTGCTTTCATCTCTGCTGACCTCCTTCAAAATGTCTTTATAGTTATTTTAAACTGAAATTTTACTGTGCTCCCATGAGCAAAGGCAATATTTGAGACTTACCATGTATAACTGTTTAAATGAGAAAGTCCAGGTTTGGCTGCTCTTGGTGTTTGGTAGCACTGGATCAAATCACCTCTTGATGGAACCTTGAATTAAATGAGGGAGATATGTTACAAATGCTAAAGCATTTTCCACATTTTCCATTCTGTGAAGCTAGCTGTTACAGTTTGTTCTGCAATGAAATATGGATGTAATGCATTTAAATGTGTTGTCATGTTTAGGGTTTAGATGTTGATGTGGAAAACTGTGCCGTGTGTATTGAGAACTATAAACTGAAAGACACTGTCAGAATTCTGCCATGCAAGTAAGTTGCCATAATTATTCCTTCCTCTTTAGCTTGTTTTCCCTAAGAAATATGTGATGAACTTTCTGGAAACTCTTAAACTGTGGTGGCAGAGCCAGAGCAGAGCCATTTGTATGGCCTGTTACATGTTGAAGGGCACTGGGAGACTATGTAGCACTTCAGCTGCAGAGGAAAAAGGAGCAATTGGGGGAAATCTAGGAGTGAAGTAGAGCTTTAAGAACTGTACACTGTTGAAGTGGTAACTCTGGTGTCTTTGTGGCTGGTAGCATCTCATATTTAAGGACGTTAGCATGAAAGATGCTTTCAGAACTATGCATGTCCTTGTAAATTAAGTGGTACCTAGTTGTCAGAGTTCTAAAGGAATGGGCATATTTTTTAATGTAGTAATTTGCACATTATTTAAAGGAATAGTGCATGGCTTTCATGAGGAGCTCTAAAGGGCTTTTTTTTTTTCTTCTTCAGGCACATCTTCCATAGAACATGCATTGACCCTTGGCTTTTGGACCACAGAACTTGTCCAATGTGCAAACTAGATGTTATCAAAGCTTTGGGATACTGGGTACGTTGCAGACATTCTCAGCTCTTCAAGGTAGAAGTACACTGCAGGAGGCAAGACTTCATGTAACTGTTGAGAATGAGAACAGTTGTTACTTGGTGAGATTGAGGAAGCTGGGCAAAGATGCAAGAATAATTGAATGAGAACCAGAGAAATTTGGGATTTTTTGGGTTAAGAGCTTAAACAGTGTATTGAGCAGCTTATGAATCCTGTGTGTACTCTTCTGTGAGAATGTTTTTTTCTGTCTCCAGCTGATGATAGTAAGGAATTTGAAGCAGACATGAGGCCATTTGCCCAAGCTGCAAAAATGTAACTTGATTTAATATATCTAGAGCATATACTTGATCTTGAGTTGAACTGCTATTCAAAGGAAGAAATTATAGTTTTTCTATCTGGAGTGTTTGTGTACTTCCACGTATGCCCAGTGTTTTATCCTTGTAAATGAGCCAGTACTTAGAATCTTCCTGAAGACATTCACCAGAAATCAGTTGAGTAGAGAAAATGATGTGGTTTAATTTCTTTCTAACAGCACAAGAAAAGAGAGATGAAGACACATGCGGTAGGTTACTCAGTCACTGTTGATAAATAGTCTTGAGTTGCAGTAAAGTGCCTTAGGCATGAATGTATCTCTTTTCTGCTGATCTACAGGGATCTTCAGAAAATAGGGGTGTTGTGTAGTTTCAGGGATCTTCCTTCTACAGACTAGACCTGCGTTTTGACTAGCTTTTCTCTTCTTTTGTTGCAGAGACTTAAAAGTCTTCTGTAGACCTTCCATGAATTACTTTTTTGTTTTGTCAAAGGTGACAGTACTCTTGCTCTGTAAAGCATATGTATACCAGACTGGAGCTTCTGTGCATTAAGCCAGACTTCACCCAAGAGTTCCAATGTTTATCATGTGAAATAGCTATTTATATTTTAATATTGTTATGTTTGCAGCTTTTTTTTTCCTCACTTTCAGTTTTGGGAGTTAATGTAACATGTCCTATGCAGGAGGATAGATCCTTTTGTATACAGGCTGAAAAAAAATACTAGAACTAATTGAAGACTTTTATTCACTAAATTCATGCTGCTACAGAAGATACTGATACCAGGCCTAACCAGAAGGAGTGTTACCTCATTTTGTTGGGCAAAATGAATGCTGGAAAGCAGGTTGAATGGGATTATATTAAATACAAAGCCCCAGTGATTTTTTTCTAATGGAATGGGGAAAATGTCCTGCTTATTGATCAATTGTTCAAGTCCCACTGAAGCTAATAATGTGGGAAATCATTCAGTATTTTTTCTGGCTTGATTTTCAGCCTGATCCAGGTTGCTCAATCTAGTTTGTAGAGTGATTGTGTGAATTTTTTACTGATGCGAGGAAAAAAGTGTGAAGAGCAAGACAGCTTCTCTTAGCAATGTGTTTGCTGGGTGACGTAACTGCAGACAATGTGCAGCCTTATGGAACTCTACTAAGCCGCCTGCAAAGAGGCTGAAGGCTTAATGCACTTTTATGGAGAAAAAATACTTCTGGTGCTTCAAAATTTTTCTTAGAAGGCCGCACCAAGTCCTATTACCTGGCTTTTGTTTTGTAAAGAGCAGACTCCAGTGGTCTGGTTCTGCATTATGCTGTTTCTTACAAGAAAAAACAGCAGTTCAGCATGTCTGACTGATTTAGTAGAGCACTGTTGAATCTTGTTGTTTCAGTGCTTACTTAAGTGCCCAAGTTTTGGAAACTAAAGTCATTAATACCCCCTGCCCACACAGGTAGAGATCAGTATCACATGTGTCTTAAGTTTTCTTCAATTATAGCAGTTTTATAGCTTATTAAAATTCAGCACATTTTAAAATGCACTGAATCTTTTGTGCTACAGAGAGATTTGGCCTAGACTTTCTTAAATCTTGAGATGGGCTTTGGCTAATTGTTTGAGGAGGAGTAAAAGACTCCTGAAGCCCAGAGAATAGCTACCCATGCTGCAGTGTACTTGCTCCTGTATAAATCATGTCAGCATATCAATGGCAATGGCTTAGTGAGGGTCGTCTGTTTAATCTGAGGAACAGCTTGTGCATGTGGGACTTTGAATTAACTTTCAGAACGGGTGAGAAATAGCTCATGCTTTACAATAGGTGAAATAAATTCCTTTGTGTGTACTGCAGATGTTTTGTTCCTGCCAAGTGCTGAGCCAGCATATTTGTATTTTTGGAACAGACTTAAAATTAGGCTGGAGGTAGAGGAGAGGAGGAGGTGAGTTTGTCCTGATGTCAAGTGTTTGCTCACCCCAGTAAAAGAAGTCTAAGCTTGCCCAGCTGCTATCATGAGAAAGAGGCTTCCAGGCTTCCACAAACTCATACAGGATCAATAGGTTTGCTCAGTGAAGACTCTCTGTGGTGAGCCTGCTCCTAACCAGGCTGCAGCCATACTGCTGCTACAGTGTTGAAATGTTCCCTACAAAAGGCTGCCATGGTTGACGACTCTTGTTGCTGGTCTTGGCTTTGGGGTGGCTTTGAAAAAGTGGCTTTTTTTCTGCTTGGCTTTGACTGCAGAAAAACAACACGGAGAATAGACACTGCTCAACACTGAACTTGTGAGCACATAGGTAGTGGGCAACAAAAGGGCGTGTTTTCTAATAAGGCGAGGTTATGAAGCGGCAATGTGGAGAAATGTCGATGCCTAATGGTAGATAAAAGTGTCAGTTAAATATATTTTAATTTTGAAGGGGGACCCTGAAGATGTCCTTGAGGTTCCAATACCTGAATCAATCAGTGGCAGTGTTTCAGTGGGAAGCCTGAGTATTGCTTTGCAAGACGATGACAGAAATGAAGTCAGCGAGCTGTCGGCTTCCTCCACCAACGAGTCTGTCCTGCAGTGCACCAGCTTGAAGGAGGACGCCGGCGAAACCACGGCACTGCTTGGTGAGTAAGCAGTCACTTATCACTTGGCAACCCTTAGGGCCATTCATTGCATTAGAAGAAGCTGTTCTCTAGCTGATGTCAGTAGTGCTTGTACCGCAGAGCAGACCAGACTGAGTAGTGGCACTTGGTGATGTTCAAAAACACCAGCAGGTAGGTTCTGAGAGAATTCTATCAAGCTGCAGAAAACTTGTCTTGAGGTAGGGAGAAAGATTGGTATAAACAGTATCTTAGGAGGATTACTTGGCCAAAGAATCTTCAGAAGCCGAGGTACATATGAATATGAATTTTTGGTGGAGTTCAGATTAATGTTACTGATAATATATATTAAAATAGTAAATGAACAATTTTTCTTGTAATTCCTGACTTCTAGATGTGGATGTCAGTAATAACCGGCATGGAGAACATCTATCTAGTGGAAGTTCCCACTGAACTGCTTCATGGAAGAGATCTTGAATAGACTGCTGAAGAACTATTATTTTTTATTTAATTAGTATGGACTTTTGTCTAGTTAACAGGAAAAAACATAACAATGTAAATTATTTTACCTTTCAAACTTTTCTAGCTGGTGTTCCAAAAGGGCTAATAACTAAGAATTTTGTACACAGGAGGATTTTATAAAAATCTCCTCTGGATGTCTCATCCTAAAAACCAAGATGCAATAACCCTTTTTCTGTAAGCGTTGTTACAATGTCATTGTGTTCAGAGGGCTGTAACAAAGATGAAGACTAGGCAGTGAAAACAATGTAGAATGTCTAACAGATAAGTATTTTGATGCACTATTTACATTCACTATATACACATGGAGAACACTTACAAGACTATAGCTATTAAAATATTCTGAAAGTTCTGATCTGTTTTAATTGGAGATGGATGTTCTTAGAAATGACACAATTTAACCTTGAAGGAATCAAATAACTTTAGTTATGTTGCATATCCTTTTTTGTGATGACAAAAATTGCTAGTTGCAACTTTGCTTACACGTAACAAATGCTAATTTGATCTTGTAATGTGTTCTACTCAGAGTGGATGCTGAGAGAAAAGGAGATTTTCTCCACCTTGCTAGCTTTTTATACTGAATTTGGCAGTAATAGGTTGTGCTAGGTGGTCTTCACGTGCTGAGCATGTAGACTTACTTAGGTATATGCACTCTGGTTACCTCTTTCAATCTTAAACTCAGTAGAACAGAGGTAAAGGGCTAAAAATGGCTAAAATATATTTATTAGTCTATTTATAAGAATTTACTTAATTCCTTCTTCCTCCTGTTTCCATTCTGTCCCACTTTATGTGCAAATTGAAACTGTTTCTTACCATTTACAAAGTTTGGGTTTGGTTTGGTTTCTTTTTTTCCCTTTGCATAGAGATGCTGGAATTCTTCTCTTGGATATTCCACATTAGGAGTTTTGACTGGGTTTGCTGTTAGCTTTGGTTCCTTTCTTTTAGATTAGCAGTATTGTGCCTTATAGTAGAACACTTAAGAAACCTGAAGCATCTGAGAGTAAATATAAACCCTGGCATCTCCCATTATGACCTCTTATTCAAATATTTATACACTGTAAGTGGTATAAGGAATTGCTAAACTGTTTTGTAAAGAAATATGTATATTTAAAACACTACTTCTTAAGAGTGTTAAGTGAATTGTTTAGGATTTTAGCATTGTCATGTTATAAATAATATGCTACATTCCTCAGTTTTCTTTTGTAAAGCTGTTACTACAGGTTGCTTAAAACAGTGTCTTTTACTAGACATTTGTTTTAGAGTGTGTTTTGTTTTTAAAATGTATATTTGGAATGTTTTTAAGAAAATATGCAATTCTTTTTCTAACTTATATTGAGCTTCAATAGAAGCAATAACTTTTTTTAATTTTAGAATGAATGTTCCAGAAATGACAGAGGTTTCAGCTGGGGAAATATAATCTGAACTTCTGCTTTGCAGAGCAGATGTTTCACCCTAAATTTCTTTTTAAAAAAACTCCTATTAATGCCTGATTTAAAAAAGAAAAAATCTGCCTCTTCCCTGTAGGAGTGTAACTTTTAGGTTTACTGGAAAATTGCCAGGTTGTAGTTCTGATGTCACCAGCAGGTGCAAGTTTTTGTGATGCCTTTATCTTACAAGAAGCACACGGGAATGGAATGTGACTGACCAACCATCTCCAAAACCGAACCAGTAAAAAACCCACCACTAAACCAAACAATAGAGAGAGACACTTGTCTCCAGAAGAAGCTTATCAACACTTCCAGAACTGCCTTTTTAACTATCTCTTCAATATTAAAAACAAAGTCTTCTCCCTCTTCCTTAACACAAAGCAGAACATTGATGTAGTAAATGTTGAGAGGGTTTAAACTCTAGCTCAAGGAGGAACCAAAAGGCGTTATCAAGAGAAGTCTTGTCAGTCTGTGGATTGTCTTGCTGATACCTGCAGCACAGTATTCATACTGGAGAGGAGAAATGTGGTGAGTACTTCAGCTTTTATTCAATAAACCCAAAAGCTTTTCTTAAGAGTCAAAGCTGAGATCTGGTGGAAAGCTGGGAGAAGAGCTAAAGGACCTGCAGTCTGAGAAGTCTACTTATAAAACCTGAAGTGTACTGACTTAAACAAACATCTGAGTACATTTCTAATGCTGGTGCTGTACCTGTCTCACCTCAGCCTTTCTCAGGAGTGGTTACAGATGTTAGTTGAACAGGTTTGCACCTAGATCCTCTTTGCTACAGTTATGTCTTGTAAAGCCAGCTGTGCTGCTGAGGAATGATGACAATAAAAGGCCGAATTGCAGTGCCTCCAGCAAGCAGTTTGCTCTCTTTGGAAGCACGATGACAAAAATCTTCCGAAGCGAATCATTAGTCTGACCTCAGTCAAAAAGCTGACACCTGTTAGCAAAAAGAGAATGGTGGGATAAAAAGTACAGGACAGGAAAGAAACAACCTAGGGAGCTGAAAAACAGTAGCAAGAGCAGATTAGAAACATGAAGCGCATGATGTGCTGTTACAGCTCCTCTGATACCTGTGGAGTAAACAGGTGTAGGCAGCCATAGGTAAACACAGGTTCCCAGACTTTGCTGATCTGGAGCTGCTATGTTGGATCAAACTGGTATTTCTGGTTTCTAGCACTTTATCTACCAGAAGCTTGTGTGAAGGTCAGAACTGAGTCTTCCCCCAACCTCAACCCCAGTGAGTGTTTTTGCAGGATAGGTGCCTTGTGTTCCCCTCCCCTTACCGTTTGGAGAATCTTTCATCTGCCTCCCCTGCTTAGGCTATGTCCTAGGAGCTGATGCAGTGTGTGCTGGGGTCCCTTCTGCTCCCTTCCAGCCCCATCCTGACCCAATCTCTTTTCCTAGCAGCGCGGTTTTCATAAAACATGCAGGAACTTGTCTCGGAGCTCTCTGTCCCTTTGTCAGGTTTTGCTGTAGTCGTGCAGCAGGAGTTTCTTATTAGAGGCATTTGTGTGTGGTAATGATACAGAGCTAAAGCACAGTGCCCACGGGCAGTGGGCAGCCCCCAGTGGAGATGGTGAATAAACCAGCTGGGGGGAAATCCCTGTGAGACTCTGGGACGTTGCTGTTGTAGAGTAAGTTTTGTTAGTGTTTTGTCCATTGGTGTGGCTTTGTTAGTTCTGGTGTTCTCTTCAGGAGAAAATTTGTAAAGTTCAAGTATTTCTAAAAAGGAGCTGTAAATATGTCAAAATAGACTGGTGTTTAAAGCAAAATCTAGAGGACCCTCTTGGTTCCAAAATTTTAGTTTGTTTATAATAGTCTACAAATGCCAAATTGGAAAAGAAATTTGATAGTAAATAACTATTCAAACTAGCTCCAGCTTTCAGACTTGATAGCAAACAAAAAAGAACTGAAGACATTTCAGATCTAAGCACATGTTAACAGTGAGATTAATTACCTGCAGTACCAATTTAACCAGAAAATTTGGGATTTCTTTTATCAGTGACCCCTAGACTGGATTAGTTTGGCTCCAAGCAATGCTTGGAGGAGAGTCTGCAGGTAGTAGAGAAGTTTCAAGTAGCTGTAACTGCTTTTCCCCTGCCCGCCAGGTATGTGGGTGTAGTCCAGTAAGTGGTGCTGGATTCTGGAGGGGTGCCAGAGGAGCTGTAGGACGAGGTGACTACGGTGAGAATGCTTTTGATCCATGCTGATTGGATAAACTGGTATATTCCTGCCAAAGCTGGGCTGTTAGACTTGGGGAGTTGCAGAGACTTGGGGAGTTGCAGCCCTGTGCCAGGGTGTAACTGGCATGGAGGAACACCCATGCAACAACCCTGTTGAACATACAAAGACTTTTTTAATCAGAGATTCAGGAAGGGCTGTGCAGGTCTCCTGCCTGGCCTGCTAAGCTTTCTCTAAGCCCAAGCTGTGGTAGCTGTGCAGAGAGGAGCCCAGCAAGCCTGTAGTGATGGTTACCCCACATCCTGTGCCCTGTGGCTCAGGGGGTGCCTGAGGCAGGGGCAGTATCTATGCCTGCAGGTTTTCATGAGCTTGATCAGAAGCAAAACGTGTTGGATTTACATTAGGATGGCAAGATAGGATGCAACTGGTTGGGCTGATCACTTAGCTGCCCCATAAAAGCAGACTCCTCCTGTCTAGGCATGCAGCTGCTCTTAGCAATACCAACAGTACTCTGAAGCACACACCAGCAGGTTCAGAATGGTGTTCTGAATTCGGGTAATATTTTTTCAGTTGCTACCATGGCATGTAATAAAACCATGGTTTTGTTACACATCAGCAACCCAGGTGTTAGTAAAACTTGGAACTCCTGCTCAACAGAGCCTTCAGCACCCTGGATCGAGGCAGTAATGATGAGGTGGTGGTGGTTAGGTTGGAGTTGGGGGGGCTGTTTCTTTTGGGAGGGGGTCGGTTTGGTTTCTTTTGAGTGGAGAAGGTGGTGTGTGCCATTTTCATTGGTTTGATTTTCAGCACATGGCATCCAATGTAGTGTTTCTGTGCTGAGATCAGTCAGAACACACTGACTCTGCACTTCTGCAAGGAGAGGTGGAACTGAAATCTAGCAGAGGAGTCAGTTGGCAGTATCTCCTCGGGTTAACCTGGGGGGAATGGAGTTCTTGGTGTTGCCTGCTGGGCGAATCAAATTGTGTTGGCAGCTTGACAAGAGACTGTTCTGTTCTGTATGTCTCCCTTCAGCCACCAGGCTCGGCCAGGCTTTGCACAATGGCTCGCACTGATTAGCAGCTTGCTGTTACAGGAAGAGACACAGTGGTCCCTTCTGGGTTTCCTTTTCTGCTCTACTTACTCTGCTCTGTCTCACGTTCAAATTAAGAGTATGTGATGAACTAATTCAGCTTAAGTGGCAGCAAATTAAATCTATCAAAGTTGTACCTTGACAAGCTGGGAAACCAAATATCCTGACTGTGCAATTAGCAGTTTTATAGCTGGGCTAGGGGGATGGAGGGCTGGGGTGGAGGAAGGAAAAGCAAGACCCTCCCCTTGGGTAAGTTGAAGAGGTGCAGCTTTATAATAGGGCCGTGGTGAATTGACAATTCCCCAAACGGAAGATTGCAGCAGAGTTGGGGGTTGGTCATTGATTTTTTTTATTTTTCTTTTAAGTCAGAATGGCTGTAAAATAGTAATGTGTCCTCTGTTCTTGAGACTGATCTTGATTAGATGTATTTTTTTTCTCTCATAGGTGATCTGTGAAGATTTGGGAATTGGAATTGTAGATTAAACGTGCACAAATGAAGCCGAAGGCTTTTGTTTCTGTTCAGTATGGGTCCTGATCTCTCTCCTCAGATACCCTGCTGTATTGCAAAACTTGACTTGAGAGAGTTTTAAAAGTAGACTGTCTCTATAATTGCATGTGTTTGTGTGAAGAATGCCTTGCCTGGAAACTGTCTGTTTTACTTCCATTGGACCTGAAGCTACTTTTCACCATCTGAAACATGGTAACGACACTGCATTTTTAAATGAGCATGCCCTTCTTAATTCAGAAGAGCAAAATAATCTGAGTTTCCATCCTTCTGTTAGTCTGAAGCTTAAGTCCAAAACTTTGAAGCCAGTTACTTCTATAAACATAACTGCAGAGAACCCTTTGAACTTGCTTGTCTGTCACCAGCTCTTCACAATCGACTGTCTTTTATGGTAACTTTGTTCTAACTTGGTTGCATTGTTTGGATTAAGCACTGGGCTATGTCTTTTCCATTGTGTATGTACAACTGTAAGAATGTCAAGTTATGTGTTGTTGTTGTTGTAACTTAATGGCTAAAAGCTCAATTTCCATAATAAATTATACAGACCTTTTAAAATGTCTGAAAAGCTTGAGGGTTTTCTTTTTAAGAAAGCAAAGATAGATGGATCTGAGCCACTGGGCACTAGCACAGCACAAAACAAGTTTAACTTCATGCTGGGCAGCTGAGGGGGAAGATGCTTTTGGCACGGTCTGGAGTTTTCCCTGTGCACCCACTCCCTAGGTGTGATGGGCTAACCTTGGGTGGCTGCTCTTCCCCTGCCCTGTTGTGGGGAGGGAGAATAAGATGAAAAAACTACTGGGTCAAGGTAAGAAACAAACAGCTGCGCAAGTCACAGGCAAGACAGACCTGACGATTAAAACTAATCTAGTTGACAACAGAAGTAAAGTAAGATAGTGAGAAACAGATAAAAATACCCTTTTTTTCCTAGACTCTACTCCTTATTCACTCTTTTGCCTCTCCCTTCTCTGAGTAGTGGTAGGGGGAGGAGGAAGGCTACAGCCAGTCTGTAACACTGTTTTCTCCACACCCTTTTCCCCTACTCCATCATGAGCCTCCCCAGCAGGGGCTGCAGTTCAAGAGCTGCTCCACTTGTGGATCCTCTGAGGGTACAGACTGCTCCAGAGCTGTCACAGAGCTGCCCCAGCCTGGCTGAGGGGCTCAGCTCTGTCTGCTTGTACTGGCCAGGTCCAGCACAGGGCAGCCTGTCCTCCTCAAGACCACCCTCCAAGGCCCCTCCTGCCCCCAACCTTGCCCTGTGAACCTAACAGAACTTTGGGAAAGCAAGGCTCACCCTCCCTTCTAGAGCACGAACGGTGCAGAAGCATACAGCACCCTCAGCAGCGAGCTTGGATGCTTCCATCAATACACAGGGCTCTGAAATGAGCATATTACAGATGTACCCAGGATAAAATCAGATGTCTCCTGGTAATTGATCATTTTTATAACTCCCTTCTAGAGCACAAACAATGCAGAAGTATACAGCACCCTCAGCAGCGAGCTTGGATGCTTCCATCAATACACAGGGCTCTCAAATGAGCATATTACAGATGTACCCAGGATAACATCAGATCTGTCTCCTGGTAATTGATCATTTTTTATAATTGCAGGACAAACTCACAGATGTCTCAGTATGTCAGTACAACTGAAGCAAATACTGTAAAAAGACAGTGCTACACTTTTGCTGTTGTATCATGGTAGCAACCTACTCTTTATTTAAGGCTCCAATTCTTTTGAAGTAATCCTTTAAATCATAAGGTAGAATGCAATGCCTCAAAACAGTAGTAATCAGCTCTCTGATGGGGCCTAGTACTTTGTCATAAACTGTAGTACTAAGTTCCAAACAAGCCTAAAATCTATATAAAGGGGGTTTTAACCATGTTTTTGAAGAGGGGAACTAGTATAAAGATAGTCAAATTGTACTTCCTTAATAGATGTAAAGCATTAAGGTAAAAGTTTAGACCACAAGCTCAGTTAACTGTTGCTTACAGGAAATGTTTTGGGGTTTAAAGGAATCTCTAGAATTGGAACAAACCTTAAATAAATGCTACTTTAGTTGGCCAAATACATCTTAACTCTGGGAAGCTATGCAAGTCTAATGGCTAGAGAACACTTCTCACAGGACTCCTTACCCAAAGATTAAGCTGCATGAGATGGGAGCAATGGGATTTCCAGTCCAAGCAATTTAGCAACTTAAATTATTTGGAAACTGTTTTCTGCATTTTCCTGTTTTGACCTTGCACTATTGATCTTGCACTTCATAAAAATTTGAAAAGCAGATGCAGATCTAAACCAGCTTTCATTTAGTCAAGCAGCATTAAATTTGAACTAGCTCTTTGCAAGTTATTTTCCTTTTCAGTCCCAGGGCTTAAATAACAGCAGCTACTCTATCATCTTAAATCTATACTTTGGGAGGCTCCTTCCCCAGTTTCCCCAAAACCTGGCACCAAACCCAGGAATGGCATTCTGGCTCTCTGCTTTAGAGGGAAGAGACTATTTTCATTATGGTAGCCACAAAGCCAACTGCCTAGGCATGTTCTCATGTGAGAACAAGGCTCATGACTTGGGTTTCTATGGAAGAAATGGGCCCATCTTTCCTCCATGAAACAACCTTATAAGCACCAAATAGGTGTGGTACTTAAACTACCCACACTATGAGCCCAGCATTCTGGAAAGATTCAGTGACCTTGAAAACAGAAAGTACCACTCAGCCTACAGCACCCAACACAATTCCTGCCATGCAAAGATAAGCTTTAGCTTTTCCTAGACCTGGAGACAGATTTTCCCTTACTGGGGGAAAGCAGCATGCACTGTTACAAAGTTGTATCCAGCTTCTAGAAGGTCTTGCATAGTAAAGAAAGGCAAAGGGGAACTGAAGTTACTCACCTTGATAGAAGTTGACTTGAGTTCTTCACAAACAGTTTTGGTCACAAAGTGCCAGATTAGTATGTAAATTTGCTGTGAAACAGCAGGGATCATTCACATTCTATCTGGAATGAGAGCCTGTTGCTCAGGCCACGCATGCAACACACGGAGTTTAACCCACAGGCAAAAAAGAGCCTAGGGCCCAACACATTTCACCCACTCGAGCACACGTATCAGAAAAAACATTATTTATTGTTTAAATGCATAAAATGCTATTTATAATGTATTCCATCATTAATCCAGTGGTTCAAGTTTAAAATGTACATGGGTGCAGAAGGCTGGCGGGGTCCTGGCTTTGGCAGCTCCAGTGTCACTTGGCTGCCTTGGCCTCGGCGGGGCTCTCCCCGGTGTCCAGTGTCTTGAGCAGGCGGAAGAGGCCGGCGGCCTCCCGGATCCGGCTGAACTCGATGCAGAACGCCTGCACCTCGATGAACAAGTCCTGCACGTTGATGATTTTGTTTCTGATTAAAGACTGCAGAAAGACACAAACAAGGCGTACCAGGCGGTTCTGGAACAGAAGAAATGTGGTTTCATAATCCAAATACATGTTTGCAGCTGAGTCAGCTGAAGGCCTGCTGGCCCTCAGCAGCACAACGGAGGCACTTCAGGAGGAATTCAGCTGCAGCAGTCATCTTGTCCCCGAGCCTTGTACGTGCTGCCCCTGCTCTTCCATTTCCCAAACTACCACTGTATTTAAGAAATAGACTCCTCTGCTTTACAGGACTGAACTTCTGGATACAGGAGCTTTCTCAAGACTAATCCCCTGCTCAAATGAAGCACCAGATCTACCCACACTTAATGTCTTTATTATGTTATCTAGGGAAGGGTAGATTTAGATTAGGCATTAGGAAGAAGTTCTTTACTATGAGGGTGGTGAAACACTGGGACAGGCTGCCCAGAGAGGTGGTGGAGGCCCCATCCCTGGAGACGTACAAGGGCAGCCTTGATGGGGCTCTGAGCAACCTGATGTAGGTGGGGATGTCCTTGCTTGCTGCAGAGGGTTTGGACTAGATGACCTTTAAAAGGTCCCTTCCAACCCAAAGCATTCTATGATTCTATCTCTACATAAAGTCAGAGAGAAGGGAATCACAGTTTAAGATGACATCATCGCCAGGGTCTTGCTTAGTCTTATTTTCTACAATAACACCATGAAGAAAAATGAACCAGCTTCACATCTCAAAATCCCTGTCACCACATGACTAAGGCACTCCAGATGGGAAAGTGACATCAACAGAACTGATCTCTAACTTGCTTTGTGGGAAGTGTTCCACTGCTGAATAATTGCGTGACCCCCTTTCTCTATCTCAGAAGGAAAGGCAGTAGCAGAACACTTAATCCAAGAATTTGTCTCATAGCTCATTTCCCACCCCATCCAGTAAAAAGACAGGATCCCAGAACTGTTCCTCCTTCCTAAAGGCTACTTAGGTAACACCCTGAAGAGCACGCTGGGAGGTGGGAAGTGGGGACCTAGGAGGTGGCACCTATAGCCTGCCATACACAGATCCACTCACCGACCATCTGCTTTATACAGAGCAGGTTTTCCCTCAAGGACAAAAGCAGATCTTACTTTATGATTAAAGTGGTGTCATACTTCAGGCTCTGAGAAAGAGTTGCACCCAAATGTTTCTCCAAAAGCAACTATATACACGAATGATGTCTATCAGACAGAACTTGACAGATTAAGTGTCTGAACTCTTTTAGGTTATTTGACACCAAAAACAAGCTGTCAACTATTTTCACAGGAACTGAGCTTACTATTGTGAAATTTGCTACTTATACCAAGAGAATTCAGAACCTGAGCAAGTTTCTTTTACTGCAGTCAAAAGGCATCACGTTTTCTCTGCCATACAAATCAGTTACAAGAGTAATTTTAATAACTGAGGAACAAAACTCGGGACAAAAGTACAAACACAAGACAGTGACTGACTCCCAGTCTGAGGGCCATGCTGCTTTTACTTCCAGTAGGGCTGGTTTTGTACCATGCTTTTCAAACCAAACCTCTCGTGTCTCAGTTGCCGTGAGGCCTCATACGCAGCACTAACAGGTGTTAGATCTCAGAAGCTTTGCATGCTACCTGCTGATCAGTGTGTTTCTTGACCCTCTCTTTAGTCCCATGTGCCTGAAGCACAGCTCCTGAGTGCTCTCAGCAGCCCCCTGAGCAGTGTCCCACTCTGGGGGCACATTCTCAGCTGCAGCCCAGGTCTGCTGCCATCGGCCTATTCTGCTACAAATGTAATGGGTGCAGCCATTCAGCAGGTCACAGATCAAGCCACCCAAGTGTATCTGGCAAAGTCCCCAAGCATCAGCAGCCACTAAAAGATAACAAGTGGTTAGTCATCATCTGGGAGAGTACCAAGAACAAGACAGCAGCAAAACCCCCTCTATCTAAAACCCACACCGCAGCCATGTCCTGTGTACTGTGTGCAATTTGCATCTCTGCAGCTCAAGGATGAAGTGAGAGAAGGACACCAGAAAAGGCTTAAGAGAAAGGAACAGCTGCCTTGTAGCAAGAGTCCTTCAGTACTGAGAGGAAAAAGCTGAGGCAGAACTTGGTCAAGATTCATAAAGCCTTGGGGAAACTGAACAGGGAACTGCTTTTCACCAATGATGCATCCAAGAAAATAAGTTCTACTGGGCACATGGTGACACCAACAGATCAGTTTAGGACAGAAGGAAGGCCCTCACACAGCATGTAGGCAACCTTGCACACCAAAGGCATGGAAACCTCCCCAGAGGGTACAGGTCCCTCAGGTGGCTACACCTTGCATCCTAGTACTGAGGACGTATGACAGGCTTGGGAAGCTGAGAGTATGACATTTGGAATACAGAAGATGCATTTCGGTCTTTGAGGAGCTCTGCAAGCTGCCGTAGGTCATGATCAAAGGGCAAGACTTCTACATGAGTTTTAAAACATCAGCTCAAAGGTCTGGAAGTGGTGGGCAGACTTGTACCAAAAAGAAATTTGAAGCTTAAAACTAAGCAGAAGGCAAACAACTGAGGGTGAAGAAAAGGCACACAGTGAGAGCCAAACCTTTTGTTTGTAAGGACCCGAGTCACATAAAACTGCAGTTTTGCCAAGGACAAGTGTATTATATCTACAGAAAACCAGGCAATAGTAATTGCTTGTAAAGTATTGTGAAAAGGTGAAGAAACATCTGTTAAACACTATAAAGAGCTTTACAGCGTGTCAGGGGAAAAAAAAAGCTCCTTTGCAATAAGGAAGCAGTAAGACAGAACAGCTTATTACTGTCAGCCTTGCAAAATCTTGGCATATATTACACAGAGCAACACATTGGACCCTTTTTCCCAACCAACTCACTGTAGTACTCACCTGCATATATTTGTCTTTAATCTGTTCACAGGTGGAGATGCAATTGGAGATATAAAGATGAATAAATTCGGGCGGGAGGTCAACTGCAGTAGTAAGCCTGTTCAAATTAAAAATATCCAGTGACTTACAAAGCCATAAATCCAGTGATTCCATTGCAAAACAGATGAGTTAGACCTGTGAGATTAGTTTCTTCCCAGTCATGCTGTACAGAGCTGATTTCCAACAGCTTCCACAGGCTTATTTCTCATTTGAATTTCAACGAGCCCAAAACTAACTCTGACACAGTACAGAATCTGAGTTAAATTCATTTCCAGTATTTATAACACACCTACAAACATTTGCTATGTATTTCACAAAGGAGTCAATGATACTAGTTCCAATTTACAAAGAAGCCCACAAGCTGTCTGAGTACCAAGATTCTTCTGCAATAAGCACTGCAAAACAATTTTGCATATTCCTATTTGAATTTCAGGTACTGAATCTAGATGCTGAACTCCTTTAAGCATATACTTAAGATATATGATGTCAATGAGTTTAAGATCCATTTCCTTTGTTGCTTCCAAATTTTAGTCCTAGGGACTGAAACAATAATGACTATCTACAGCTCAAGTAAAAAGAGCCCCTGACTATATGAAAATCTTAACTAGAGATTAATGATCCACAATAGTCTCAGAAGCTTCTTACTACAGGGAAATTGGAGAACTGCTGCACCAGAGAATGGTATTTGTGTATTTTTAAGGGTTCACAGCAAAACACACCTATTTGTGGTTTAACAAGACTGACTGCTGAAGTATTTGAGCTGCCTGTTTCTTTACTGAAGAAGCAATACAGCTCTCTTAAGATAACACCAGAGACTAAATGTAGAATTGCCATAAAGTTACAAAAGAATTTGGCCAAAGTAACTCTCATCAGTCCTAGCTCAAATAGTGAGGGGGGTGGGGCAACAGGGAGAAGAGTGCATGTTTTAGATATTCCAGTTTCAAGTTTCTGTCTCAAAACCCAGCGTCTCCCTCTTTGCACTGACAGTCACTTTGTGGTTTGAGAAGCTGTTCCTGTGGTAGTTAAGCTGTGGGAGAACCAGAATGCCTGACTGGTGGTGTAGCTATTCTGGAAGGGAGCAAAAGCTCTTTTACCACTGTTTCTCCATGTGACCACTAGCCCAACTTCTGGGCAGTAACTGCTGCCAGTCTGCACCAGTACAAGGGATTTAATGCAGAAATATTTCTTAGCTGTCTGAGAAGTCTTCCCACTGAAGGGGGTAACATTCTGTCAAGAACATGGGCTGTACCTATACACAAAAGGTATCCCCAACAAAGACAGGGCATGGACATAAAGCAGGACTGCTGTCTAACAATACCACCTTTTGTTTGCTTAAGCCACATCCAGAACACAAGTTGCACTTAAGCAGATTAGCTGTGTGGCATAAACTTCTTGTGGCAGATTCTGGCAGTAACAGCCCTTTGTCCCACTGCAGTCTTCTATCTCCCACACAAGCTTACCTCAACAAGTACCAAAACTAACATTTCCAGATGTCCTAACAGAATGCACCTGCTGCCTCAGATAAAAGAGAAAACAGAAGCTGGAGATGAGGCTCATTTTTAAATATGAAAAAAAGAATGTGAATTCTTTATGACAGTCACTGCAGTGACAAAACCAGGCACATTCAGTAACCACTCATCTTGCAACTCAGTAACTAACCCTGCAGCCTCCTGGGACACAGGACATGTACTCACTTGTGAAATGTATTAACCAGGAATCTGATGTCTGATTAAAAGTTCAGGCAGATTACAGACTGCAGTGACAGACTCCCTTACATGATAACCATTTTAAACAGCATTAAGTTGAACATATCAGTTTGATAGAATGATTTTCTATTGATTATCAACTCCAGTTGAAGTTTTCCATAACGTAATATGTATGTCCCTGTTCTTTTCCAAGTAGAAACATTTGGCTAATATCAAAGAGTAGGAATGTTTTCTTTGAATAAGCCTCTCCACCCCCAGATCAGGGACTGGAAGATTAACTAGCACTGCAGCTGTTCAAGAGATGTGCCTTTTACCATACCTAATATGGTAAAATACAGTCTGTTAGAAATCATTAATATAAAAATTTATAGGTTTTAATGAAAGCAAAACAGCTAATTATTCTACAAAATTAAAAAGAATTCATATAAAATGTAATATATATGCCTCCACTATCACACCTTTCTGCTGGAAAATCCTGTTAAGTTGCAGTTTTGCTCCTGCTAATGAGAAGCTATTAACATTACAATAATATTTTTCAGTAAGACTGCTGTAAAGAGGAACTTAAAAACTGGCAGTATTCTCTGAATTTAGCATTGAAGGTGTTCTAGAGGCTCAATTCTTTATTGCCACACCAAAGCTAACTTTACAAACTTAAACTTCTTATTTTAGTCCAGACTATTTTCCTTTTAATTTCAGGCACAAGGAACTACATGAAAAGCATGTAAAGCCTTTATGAATGAAACAGGCTTAAGGACAGTCAAGTAGTCCCAGAAAACAACAAATCCACAGTGCTCTCTTCTGCTGCAGGATTAAAGGTCTTATTATTAAGAGTATTAAAAAACCCTGAAACACAAACAGCACAGAGAAATCAAAAAGGGAATGACAGTTCAATACTCTTTTACTGCACTGGAACCTGGCTAGCAGTTTCTTCAATTTCTGTTACTTTCTGTAGTCTTTAGAATGCATCCAAATACAGCCCTGTGGCCAGCCTCACAATCACTTAGTAACTGTTCAGGTATTTATTGTACATACTTAAGGAAACCTCCTGAGGCTTAAGATGGTACTCACCGATTGACAACTTCCATTGAATGTAAGGACATGTCCATGTTGACCAAGACTGAAAAATACTCTGTGATCTGACTAGATTGCATCAGCTTCAGCAACATTTCTATAGCTACTAAAGGATTGTTTTCAACCAGGTCTGGCAATTTGGCAGGAGTGAGACCAATATGGTAAACGAGCTTGGGGTCCTTTTCCAGTTCTCCAAGGAGCTGTAAAGAAAACAAGAGACTCAGGGTTTGGTTTTTGTGTGTGTGGGTTTTTTTGTTTGTTTTTGTTTTGTTTTGTTTTTTGTTTGGTTTGGTTTGGTTTTGTTTGATTGTTTTTTTTGTTTGTTTGGTTTGGGTTTTTTCCCCCCCTGTAACTATTCACATTACTACTTGAAGAAACTGCTATAATAAATCTAAGCTACAGGAGAATGATACCACTTCAGATTTAGGCATGTCTGTTGAAAAACACTGGAGGTATATTTTTTAATTTCTATATAAAGACAATTGTGCCCTTAAAACCTTTAAAAGGGCATCTAGTACTCTTTCATCAGTGGGTGGCAAGAAAGGGAAGAAAAAAAACATTAAATGCTTCAGCCTTCTTTAGTTTCCTGTCCAGCAGAAAGAAACCTCAATTTCAAGTTCCCTGTTGTCAGAAAAAGCTTTGCAAATAAAGGGTATTTCATACTACTAGCATGAATATCAAAGACATCCCACTGAAATCAGGGGTTATAATATCAAACAGAGGAAAAAAACAAAACAAAAACAAAACAGTGTTGGCATTTCTGAAATAATTACTCAGCAAAAGCTTCCACAGAAGCATGAACAACTTTCTTATAGGAAGAGTTCTCCATGCAGAAAAATATTGGTGCCATTTATTGATCAACTCTAACTATGTCCAGTCAGTGCTATGAAGTTTAAAGATTTCCTCCTTATTTATACAAGCCCAAATCAAAGCTCTTGGGTTTTTACAGTTCAAAGTCCTTGGAGTTTCCCGAGTCCAAACACAGATCAATTAAAGTGAGCCAAGTTTTCTAAAACAGAGGAGTTAATAGCTTGTTATTTAGACAGCAAAGTGCACGATGCCTACCTGTGTTTGCTGTGGGGAAGTCAAGGGACTTTTAAAAGCTTTTGCCATGATTCTTTTTATCTCAACTCCAGTGCTGTTCTTAACACACATGGACTTATCCCACTGAATGGTGTGGTCTGGCTCTATTGGGTTTAGCCAGGCCAGCTCATCCTCACATATATGAAGTGGAGGCGGTGGTCGAATAAACTCGGGTCGAAAGTGACCTAAAATGGCAACAACGTGACACGTTTTTTAAGCTTCAGGAATTCAGTTTCACATCAGCACAAAAAGAAGACCCCCAAAGCCCTCATTTCTTTAAGCTACTTTAACACTGAAAACATCATTAGTCTTATTTGCCTTCCAGAAAAATGCTTATTTCTGATTTTAGCAATGCTGTCACATCAGCCTGTTTTCCCTCTTGATGCAGAGGGCAAGGTTACTGGTTCTATGGTCTTCTTCCACAGCAGCTGCTTCCTTGGAGGTGGTAACAATCCATGGAGAGCATAGCGTAGAGGACTAAGGCCCGTGGGGCACCAGCCCCAGTGCTGTAGCCAACAGATGGCACAGGTAACAGCTTGAAGACAGACTCCAGACTTTTTTAAAAGTCTACAAATGGGAACACTATGGAGTCTGATCTGGAGACAGCCTGACAGTTTTACACCGTTTCATTCACCTTCATTCCCATTTCATGCCTGGAAAATACTTCTGAGTTGCATTACAGTCCATGTGAAGAGGTGTAATAACACAGCATGTCACAAATCACAGCCAAAGGTGTGGAAATGCACATACTTTCTATGGGAGGCTTTGGTCCACTCACTAAGGCTTCTGTGATCTGGGATGCAACGGAGCTGTCAAAACCAGAGTTGGAGGAATCTGGGTCAGGGTCGCTGAGGATGCTGGGGAAGCTGGCCTTGCTCTGCGTTGGCAGCTCGGACTGACGTTCTGAAAGAAGCCCAGGCCACAACATTAAAGCATAAAATTGAACAGAGATGCCTGGAATACTAAATGTAGGGAGAAACAAGCAGCTTTACAGAGGAGCTAGCTTTAAAAAAATATTCCCAGATAACATCAGTGTGAAATTTAGTACTGTGTCAGGTGCTAGCACTGACAGGCAAGGGACAGAGGGATGCAGCAAGGATAAAGACAAAATAAAAATGAATCTGAAACGTAGTCGTGGCTTCAGAAAAGGTAAGTAACTGATGTAATCTACATCTAAAGGCACATTAGTAGGTTCACAGAGTACTCCTGAAAGAGTTCACAGGCTATATCTAGTTTTGCAATCACTTCTCAGAGCAGGGAAGTGAAAATTCCACACAGCTACATTTACAGACTCTGTGATAATGGTCATATTACACCTGAACTCAGCTATTCAGATTTATCCCACACTTCTCAGGGCACTGCACAAGCTACTTTTGTATTCTCTGTCAAGCTACAGAAAGTCCTTCTCTGGAAAAAGATGGACTTTAGTTGTTACACGATTCTCTACACACACACTGTCATTACAGCAAACCTGAGAGGAGCTGAGAGTGTCTAGTTAAAAGCCAAATGACAGAGCACAAACAAGTTACATAAAAATAATAAGGTTAGTATATGCAGCTGAAAACTTGAAGAAACTGGCCAAAAAGAAACAAATGGTCTCGAGACTCTCATTGCCAGATTTGTAGGTGGTGTTCTGTCACAATCTGTCATTAGTGTGTACCTGAAGACTTAATGGCTGATCCATATTCTCTGCACTATTTTAAGAGATCATGTTTTCTCTTGTTTTGGTAAAAAAAAAAAAAAAATCCAGACAAAATCTAGAAAACTCCTACCCATTGCTAATTTCTTATTTGTCTTTCTGTCCCTACCTTGTCCAATTATTTCAGATCATGCAAATGTTTGGATATATGCAGCACAGCAGGGTATGTTTTTCTGCTAAAGACAACAGCTTTAAGAGATCATGTTTTCTCTTTTTTTGGTAAAAAAAAAAAAAAAAGTCCAGACAAAATCTAGAAAACTCCTACCCATTGCTAATTTCTTGTTTGTCTTTCTGTCCCTACCTTGTCCAATTATTTCAGATCATGCAAATGTTTGGCTATATGCTCACTGAAGCAGCACAGCAGGGTATGTTTTTCTGCTAAAGACAACAGCTAGCATACTTTTCACTTATTAAAAAAAACTACAACAATTTTGAAGTCAAAATCCAACCAAGCTGGTTTGTAAAACATGTCTTTCACTTTATAAATTGTTTCAGACTCCATCTTGTGAGTACTTTCACTTAGCCACCAAACGAAGGGTTGATTTCAAGTTTAACAAATGAAATTCTAAGGGGGAAAAAAAGGTACTGGGCATCTTTTTTCAGTCTTTTCATTTACAGTCTAGAACTTAGATCCATCAGTCAGTAAAACGAAGTCAGTGATTTGTTTGTATCCTCAATCGCAAATGATTAAAGATGTTTAATTAGAAATATAAAAGCTTAAGATATAGTCCATTAGTTTACTGATTTTAGATGCCTGCATGAGCCCTTAGTTACATGCACTGAAGCTCAAAAGCTCACCCTCACTGCTTCAAGAATTAGGGCTGGAAGAACAGTTCCAGGTAAGCAGAAGCAAGAATTAGATCATGGTGATTTAACAGGAAAGAACAGAGCATCTTGAATCAAGATATATAAATTTTAAAACAAATCTGAAAAAAAAATCACTTGGGTTCACTTCTGGAGCTTTTTTTTTTTTCTCTTTTTTACAGGTAAAACTAAACTTTTTTGATCCTTAAAGGAAAGCTCTACAATGAATCACAAACTTGACTTTTATGCAGGTCAATTACTCTTAGACCACGTCAGGGTTAGCATTCAGAGTGAGGGGCACTCTGCCTGAAGACCTGTCCCTGCACAAGGAGAAAACGACACTTTTGATACAGGAACACAGCAGATCAACAAAACCAGGTTACAGGGAGAGAACAAGGCTTGAATGAACTTCCCTTAGATCAAAGTGAGAGGAGAAGAAAGCAAATTTTAATGCTCATTCCCAATATGCTCTACTCCAACATTCTATGGGTGTTTTGGTTTGTGTTTCTTTGGGGGGAATATGACAACGGGGGATGGGGAGACAGACAATCCCTAAAAACAAAACTAGAAAAAACACCATGAAGCTGTAAGTGAATTGTCACAATGAGCTCAAGTTCAGAAGACATGCCAGGTGTTTTTTTTACTTCCTTTACTAAAAAAGGATTGGGATAGATACATTGACTTAAATGATTTCATGCTTTCTAAATTATCCAAGTTATTTTGCAGGTCTAAAGCAAGCCAAAAATCACTCTGCTCCAAATAGCCCTGAATTAATCTCAGGGATCACAGTGATGAAGGGCCATCAAGTCTAACAGCTCTTGCATCCTGTGAAACGTGGGGGGAAAGGTGTAAACACGACTCTGCAAACACTGCATCTAAGCACCACCATCCTGCCCCAGCTTCCTCCTGTGCCCTGGATCATCAGGAGGAACAAACTGAGGACTTGTGAAAAACTCCCAGACCTTCCAAAACATGTGGAACAGACAGTCAAGGAGCATCACAACATTAAATCAGGTAAAAGATTTATCTTTCTTGAAAGTGAATAGAAAGCAGACATTTATTCCAGGGAGCTACAAGGAAGGAGCCTGACAAAGATGGCATAAAGCTTCTTCAGATGCAGGTTGCACGAGCCCTACAACTGCTCATAAGCAATGAATGATCCATGTTTACTGGGTTATGTAAATGGTGACGCAGGCACATCTTACAGGGCTTAATTTTGCAAAACACCATTCATGACTCTGTACTGCACTTTAAGCTGTCACTGCCTTCTATTTAAAAAAGGATAAATTAGAATGCGTGGCCAAGAGAACCCATCCACACAACTGCAGTTTTGAGGTTCTCTGCACGTTTCATTTTTTATGAGAACAAGCTGTTCAGAAGGCAAGCATGGTAACAAAGAGTGAAAACAAATGAATAAAGAAAATTGTTCAGAATTAGAGATAAAAAAAAAATCCAAGCTTCTTTAAGACACATAGGCATATCCTAAGAATTGCAAGTTACCTGGAGTTTCCCAAAATCTGATTTTACTGAAGTCTTCCAGAAAGCACAAGGCAGGATGAAGAGGCCAAGAAACAGAAGGGTGTCTTGCCCCTGACAGTATGTTAGGGTATTCAGTTTGCAATTTCAACAGATCCCAGAGTCTGGAAATAGCAGCCAAGGAGGACACCTGAGACCTTTGTACACTGTGAACCACAGTGTAACAAGTCCATGTCAGACTGCAGAAAAGATGGGGCTGCCACGATACAGCTGCAGGATGGAGACAGCCTCCTTGGTGCCAGCCTCAGAGCAACAGCCTCATGGCACAGAGACAGAAGTGGGATGGTCAGTTTTCCAGCAAGCAGGTCCATTTGCACATACCCAGGGAAAACCCACTATCTTTTGGTGTTCAAACTGGCTCCTTGTTCCCAACAAAATTTGCTATTTCAGATTAGGTCCAGATGTGACTCATCAGTCAATGTGATCAGAACAATCATGTTCCGGCTTCTTTTCTCCTGCCAAAGGAGAAACATCACATTGCTTTTCTTTTCAACCTAGTAAAAGTAGACCACCTTCCTTCCCACTCTTCAGCTAGTGCTGCAAGACCTGATTTTATTTTATAAAAACGAAGATATAATTGTAATAGCCAGTTTGCCAGGTACAGTTGAAGTACTGGTATGTGACAGTATGACAGTTACACTTGATCTCTCATACTAGAAACACCACAAAAAGATAAAACTCACAAAAAAAAGAAACCCAAACGCAAAACAAACCCAATGACAAAGCTTCAGATTAACATCCTCCTGTACTTACATGTTCTCACGTTTAAGGCAGTGACATACACTGCTTGCCAGGTAAGATAAAACAGTTCTGACATAATCTCTGCTTGAAGTTTCTCTGTGTGCTTGAAAACTCTTCTGTACAGTTCAACTTTTTTCATATTTAGGATAGACAAGAGTGTTTCTCAGATAACTCATAGCCACATTACAATTATAATTTCCATTCACACGAGAACCACAGCTGCAAATCTTCCTTACCTGCTAATGCCAGCTGAAGCCCACTTATATCCACTGACTGGGCCATGTTCCCCACGTCCATTGAAGCAATCTGCCGAGGAGTCTTCTTAAACAGTTCTCTAGGAGGGGCCAGCATCAGCTGAGAAAGAAAGAATTTTTCTGGAGGAGTTATGGGAGGTAAGAAGCCTGTGGAGACAAAATGAGAAACAGTCCCTGATTTTCAGGGCAGCAGCACTAATCACTTCCATACGCTTCCTGCAGAACTAGCAAAACTAAAATGCAGAACGATGCATTGAACGGTGCAGCTGAAGAGTCTTTGTGAGTACGTAGAAAAAACTGAGCTCCTGACGGGATGTACAGCCAGGGGGTGATCTTTAAAGGCCGCTTCTAACCTGAACCACGATTTCAAAACATAGAATTCTGCGATTCTGTGAAAATACAGCGTTATACTGATCAGTATTGTGCACCTCGACACACGACATCCAAGGCTAAGCCGGTCAAGGCGGTTTCTACACATGCTTTCCAACTTAGCCAGTGAACTGTTAAATACAGCTAGGCTGTGCAACTCGTGCAGGGGTAATTCTTTGAGAAAGGGCCGGCTCTCTGGCT